GGAGTTTGAATTCAGAACCTATCTGTGCTGAGTTCGACGCTCTACCTTCTGAACAGCCCAGGTCTGAAGCAATGTGTGGTAAATTCATTACTCAGGAAATTCGTGAATAGGACAAAAATTGCAACTTGCAGCACAGAAAGGTCATGTTCCCCAGCGGTCAGATTGCGCGGGCTATTGAACAAAGAAATTGGCTGAATAAAAATATCACAGAGGCGTTTATGATCCAGTCTTGCGGCAGAGTCAGCCGAAACGAAGAATACGTACTTTGCACGGATTAGATAAGCCTTGTCGCTTGTATTGTCAAAAATCAACTTAACCAGCAGCACGGACCAAAAGTTCACCTCTTGGCTCCAGACGTTACTGCAGCTACAGACCATAGAACAGACTTAAGAAATCAACTTTGAAGAAGGTCCTAGAGACACGAGCCGAAATGTCAGTTTTGGTTTTTCACCTGAATTTGTTTGTTGTGTATGAAAAAACCGTGTTTTGTACAGCTTTACCTATGGTCAACAACGCACGATCGAAGTACTCAACTTTCGGTTTGTATTGTACCAATGTCTTTATAGAAATGAGTCTTCATTCTGTTCCTTGTTTTTTTATGTTTACTACCATCGCCTAGGATAAAGGAAGCTAAATCAGTAGCTCTATGGGGATAAACGATGTATGCGATTTTTATAAGAACACTACAGTCTAGTCCTTAAAATACCTTTCGATTTTAGTTGCTTGTTGATGGATTATTGACTTATTCAGTCGAAGTATGTAGCGCGAGTCTTCTGAAAGTTCTTTGCTTTTCAACGAGCTAATAAGTTTTCTCTACCGTATGGCCTGGATGCCTTAAAATGGAGAATTTTAACGAGTGTATCTTAGTCATACCTGCCCTAGCCTCATTTTATCGAAGGCGGTCATGCAATCGCAAAATACAGAAACGCCATATTGTCATATTGAAATGCCACCTTATAAATATTCTGGATCAGAAACAGTCAGTCTCTGTCGCAGTTTGTTGAATATCGAAGTAAACTTATATGACATGAAAGCATTCGGTGAACAGTTCAGAGCAGCTACGCAGTTCTGACGACTTAATTAATAAAAACAACCTTACAGCGACTTTAAATTTATTTTAGTTGTTGGGGTTTAGCTCTGTGCTATTCTAATGCTGCCATAAACTCGTTTTTTCCAAAAACATTTCTCAACCAACAATAACGCTATAAAGTCGGCAGTACTTCTAAAAACTGAATCTTTCGACACAATCGGCGAACTTAATACAAGAGTGATTTATGCTGTGCTTCAATAAGTCGTTATAAAGTTTTATGTTATCAGCGTAGGAAAGCAGTAAAGTAATTTTACTCCAAGGGACTTCATATCAAGTGTTCGTTAGGTATCGATTAGCGTTTCACTGAAGTCCCAGTCGGGACAAAAGACTGCGTATGGATGGCATAACCGCCTTCTGATGACCCATTCCTGGTTTAACGGATTGCCGCATTGGACGATAACATATACACAATATCACGAGTCTTTTTTGATCCACTACCGTATGAAGGCTTTCTAAGACTTTGCCATATAGCACTGTTGGTTGCGATGCTCATCCGTCGAAGTTCTCTAGCTGATCCTGCCATTAATCTGCGGGCTACCTGTGGACGGTTTAACGATTTACTCTCTTAAAATCTGGATAAACTCTCTAGCACAGAGATATAACAGTATGTGTATTTTTTGACGAATTTTCGATAGATAACTTTTTTGTGCTTAATTTATCTACATGGTTTAGGAAAATATGTATATAAAGAAAATGGACTCAATCTATCAGCTGCTAGTTATAGTGTTTTCTAGGACTTCGGTGATGGAGGCGCTTTCCCTGAAATTCACGTCGCTCAGTTTCCACTTAACATGGGCCGTGATAGTAAACGCCAAGGTAACGCTAACACCCTTGCTCTGCAGGTAGACTCTTCCGGAAAAGTACGGTATGACGCAATCATTCGGCATGGACATTCCAAAGATAGGGTGAGG